ACTATCAATCCGTGTCCTCTGTTCTACAGAGGCGATGTATGAATCTTTGGACGAGGTGAAAGAGATAATCGACGCCTGGAGGCGTCGATTTTTCATCTTCCGCTGTGTAATCACGGTTTATAGATTGAAATTGCAAATGCGAAACGTGCTCGACGTTGACAAATGAAATCTTTTCACCGATTTCTCGTCGACGACGTTCCTGCGACGATCGAGAGTTAAAAAGAAATTTGTGAAAATTTTTTTTACGTTGTTTCGATTGGATCGAACTGGATTATTTCTGTGAAAATGGAGTTTTTTTTTTTTTTTTTTTGTAAGTGTAACGAAGCTAAGAAACTTTGCACGTAACATTTTATCGGTAATTTCGAGAAGCGATAGGCACTTGCACTTGACAAAATATTTTCTTATGATCCGAGCAAGCATCGCGCCTCTGTTTGACTGCGCCAGCATCCAAACAAAGGGCAGGTTGAATTACGGTATGAGGGTGTGCATAGTGGATTTGTGTCTCGCATATTTGATACATGCCGTGATATACTGTGAAAGAGTCTCCTTCATTATACGGCAATTAACTTATTTTCGTACTTTCTATGTTTCTCAAATTGGACAACTTCCACGAGCGCAGAAATTATCGTTTCGATTCACCTCCGCAACTATGGAAGAAAGAATTCTCATCCCGAAATTATGTAAATAATTCAGAAATATGTTCCAGAATTGATAAATTTTTAACTCTGTGCTCCCGAACTCGAAAGGGGGGGAATGCATGGAAGTGGATTCTGGGAAATGAAACGTGGGATGGAAAAGTAAGTTTCAACTCCATTCGCGGAGATATTTTTTGAATTTTGTAAAGCTTGCGCCTTTTCAACTTTCTCGGGGTGTAAAAAAAAAAAAAAAAAAAAAAGAAGAAAAAGTTCGACAAAGATGCCAGTCTTTTGATTTTCTTTCTTTCCTCAGGCTCTCTTCTCGCGATTGTAGCCGACACGGTGGCGTTTTTTTGTTTCGTCGAAGGCCGTGAATGAAGTTTCTATGCGTACGCATGTTTCATCGACTCCGATGCGATTCATTCACAATACGTTAATTTAATTCCGCGTGCAATCGCATTGATGTGTCATTTGTTTCATCCCGGCATCGTCGTAAGTATGCAACGCATCATCGCTTCTTTCCCATGGTTTCCCTCGAGGTCGAAATAGTCCTATGTAAAATCACTTTGTCCTGTGAAGCAACTTCAGTAAAAAAAAATTTTCTGTATTTTTTTTTTTTTCATGGAATAATGCCAATGTTCGTAGTTAAAATTTCCCATTTGTTGTTTCAAAATCGCGTGTCATTTCTCGCGCGATTCGAAAAGAATTAATAATTAAATTGCTTCCTGGTTATTAACAACCAAAATTGTCAAAAGCACAATTCGTTTTCGATGTAGCGAGTGCTCAAATGGAATATTCCTCTCGTTTCAAAGCGGGCGGATTGAAAATTTCGATTGCCGCCGGGTAAATGGGAAAGAGCCGCAGGGGAAAGTTAAACGCTGGCCTATATCACGAAGTGTAACTTTCTTTGTTGTCGAGTATCTCACGTTATAGAGAGAACTCTTTCCCTAGACTTCTCTTATTACGCGCTTTGTCGGATGTTCGCGAATTGTGTACGTTAACCGTGAGATTGTGCAGCTCAACGGAGAAAATTAGTCGCCAGTGTCGCATTTCTTAAAAAAAAAAGCGTATTTTCTCTGCTTACGTCGAAAGTCTTGAGAAAAAAAAGAAAAAAAAAAAAAAAGAAACAACGGAAGCCGAACGGAATCTGAAATTTTCGTTTCGTTTTCGATCGATTGGCCGGACGTTGGTCGAACAATCGGGCGAAACGTCGATACTCGGCTATTCAGAAGCAAATTTCGGCGCTTTCCAATGTTATTCTCTCGTGACACGTTTATCATTGAACGATCGAAGGGGACAGCTTTGTTCGTCGTTATTCTTTCGTCGCATTCCGTCCATTGTAAACATCCATCCGTGTTTCGTTCCTTCTCTTTGGGTAATGGAATTTTGGCCAAAATGAAACGAGTTGGAGCGACTAGCTTGAAAATAATCTTGAAAATTTAACACTTTCCGTGTGTACTTGGCTTTGGTTTGTTGACGGGGAAAAAATTAACGTGAATGAACGAATGGCAATATCTATTAACACTAGAACAACCGACTCGAAACATATTCTACAGATAAATTGTTATAATTAAAATAAACGGATTTGAAATATCGAAATATCGAATTGAGTATCGAACGAGAATTGACAATGTGAAATTACGAAATATCGAGAAATAATATCAAATGTTTATTTAAATATAAAATATTCATTTTAATCGAGTATTTCTAATTTCAATAGTAATTTTCGTTTCAACTATTAAGTTATTTTAGAATAACAAGCACGAAATGACCAATTAATTTTGCAAATTAATTTTCTGAAAAATCTCAGAAACTTTGCCTCGGATATTGCATCTAACGTTATTATAAAATTATTCCTGTGGAAGGTGTGCTTTTAAAACGTTTAAGCAGTTTGCTCGAGTTAAACACGAGTGATTCTGGAAAAGGTCTGCGACACTTTCACCTTCGCTGAAAGAGAAACTCACGTAGAATCAAACGACATTGGCTTGGTTAAGTTGACCGAAAGACCGTGCCGGAAGTCCCGTCTGGTAGGATGGCTTTCCGCTTCACTGGTTTCCTGTTTCCTCGGGGTCTTCTTTTTCTTCGGCAACCGACGACACGAACGCTGCATCTCCTTTCGTAGGCTGCCTTCTTTCGCGGCCGATAATCCTGCGTGTATTTTCCACACGCGTAACCGCGCGTGCACACACACGTACGCACATCACTCGCCACGATGTAGCCGCAGAACCACCGGAGCTTGGAATAGGAAACACGACGTGAGACGAATTTCTAATTATCTCGTCGATGAACTCTACGAAATCAGAGTTATCCACCGTTTGACAAAAGATTTCTTCCGTTTTCGCTAACTACGTTCTCGCCTACGTTCCGTCTAATTGAACTTAAAGACAGTACGCCAGTTGCTAGATTTTACCGCAAGAAGGTCTTGAGATTTTTCGTAAAACGCGCGGATAAAAGCGGCCGTCCTCGCGACACGAGAATTCCACGTTTTTCTTCGTGCACGTTCAAATTACCGCTGGTTAGACCGATAGAAAGTGTTTAGCTTCTTCAGCAAATTCTTCTTCAATGTCGTCTCGTGGCCGTGCACTCGATCAAACGAAATATTTCTCTACCTGCGATGTTCTCTTTCGCGGATTATTTCGAACGTAATGTTATTTTCACGCGTATTTCACGCAAATTCTCGTGTTAGCTCTGAAAGAGGAGATCTTCATCTCTCGTTCAATTTTAATCTTTCGAATTCTACATCAAACGCGATTGTTTCAAGGAGGTTTGTGCTCTGCTCCGTGATTTCAAGGCAGTCTTTGTGTTTATAAATGGAACTACACACTCTGCTTTAGTCGAGTGTCTACCCTACTTCAACGCGAATTCACTGACTTACGATGCCTGCCTATACACCCGCATGCACATAGAAAAAAAGGTACATTTCCATTTGAAAGAAAAAAAAATTTTTTTCAAAACATCCTTCGTACATAGATAGACAGATGGATAATTTTTATTTCCACAGCCAAGAAGGTGGACTTGGTTTACATTTCGCTTTTGACTTCATTCTTTCCTCTCACTCTCTACTAGTTTCTACTCTACCTACGCTATACTTCACTTTTATACTGTACTTAACAAATTAAAATCGATTGAATTAGTTAAATCCTCATTTCCTTGTTCCCTAACTTATTGCTCTAATTTTCTACCCTGAGAATGTGCCGCGCATTGCCTCTTCGTACGTAGATATCGAAATAAAGTTTCACCTGCTTCTGGAAAGTCTTCGAATTTTTTTCTCCGACTCACTCCGCATTGAAGAAAAGTTCACGACTTCGCAGTCACGTAATCAGCGATTACAACGCGAAACACCTTCGACCATCGCGACTGTCCGTGTTTCCATTCGACACGGGACGAAACCCGTGTAAGTTCGGACTCGTGTCGCTGTCGCAGCAACACACGATCGAAACGTTCGATTGCACGGGACGTGTGCCGGCTAGTAGATTACGATTGGCGGTATTTTTTTTTTTTTTTTTTCCTCTCCCGACAATCTGGCAGGTACAAAGTGCGCGTGGTCGTCCCGGGTCGAGCGTACACGTGCTCGCAGGCAAAGTGCGGCTCGCCATCGACTTATGCACTCGACAGACGTGCCCAAAGGGAAGCGAATTTGCATACAGAGAGCGCAATGAATTCATGACTTTGCGACTTGGACGTCCAGTTTCTCTTATCCCCTCTCCCCCGGTGAGAACGTGAGCGCAAATTTCGTCTACTGTCGCTGCTCCACCGCATAACAAGTGGAAAATGTTCCTTTGAATGTCGTTCTGTTCCATTTGGCCTAATCTGGTAAATCTCCAGAGCCTTCCAGAAACTTCTGGCACATGTCAGAAATTTTAATTTCAATTTTAATTTCAGATACAGTTCAGTTTAGTCATTCTTTTTTTTTTTCCCCCCCCCCCGAGTCAAAGAATAATTTTGAAATTCACTTTAGAACCTTTTATTTTTACTTTTTTACATTCGTGTGTTCTCGCGAGTATCCTGAGCGCGTGGGTTTTTATTTCGTTACGTAAGTTGGAAGTGCCTCTTGTTCTCACCGCGTTATGAATATCAGCTTGCGTGGCGTGTGTTTCAAGTTCCAACTTCGCGCACAAAGCACGGCTTTCATGTCTGAGAGCAGCACTTTGAGCTTTTGAGTAATTCATTGCGGGAGTGACGCATCGTACACTATAAATAAATTTTTTGACGCTGGTGTTCATCTTACGTTGAACGGAGGAGAGACTCGACGCTTCTGTACATTGATCTTCACCTCGATAAATAGATATATCGATCTTTAACGTAAAACCGGTATTATTTAAATTCAGGATTATTTAATAGAATACACGAATTTCGCACGTTCAAGTTTATTGATAAATTTCTTATTAATCAAGCAATAACTTCACGACCGGTTTCTTTGGAACATTTCCAGCATCGGTATTTTAGGATCACCTGCAATCGAAGGGATTCAGACTGTTAAATGTTTCAGATATATCCACCTAGATATTCCAAAGACGAACCTGGAAGATTTCGTGAAAGTCGTTCGACAGCACGATGTAAATGAGCGAGAAAGCAGTAGGGTAAGCTTTGGCCATGAAATAAAGTCGTTCTCTTTTGTCATCCGTGCAGCACGACGCTTTAGGCAGTAAGAAACTGATCGCTCTGGCTAACCGGTACGGCATTCGTATCGTCAGAAAGGCGATCGAGATAACCACTGAAAAGATTTATTCCTTCAAATGGAAACGAAATCAAAATTCACTTGAAATCGAAATGAAGTTCCTTCGTTTCTTTTTTTCCTAGAATGATTTCTTCAATACACTTTCAAACTTTCGAATCTCCAGGCAAGAGTGTCAAGTTTGAAGTGCACAAGTTTCACATTATCACGAATTTTATATTCGCTTAACATTTAATTCAACAATTTACTCACCCAGTAGAACAAATTGCTTCAACTCTCTCATCCTCCACGATCCCTCGATCTCTTTCAATATGTACAACTCGTAAATAATCAGAGCGTCAGTGGCGATCGATGTGATCATGGGCATACCGATGAACATGATGGTGAACCACACGTAAATGTCCGCCATGTCCCCTTCGAAAAAGTCGTATATATGGAGTCCAATGGCGATTGATATGATGCACGAGGACCACGTCAATAGAATACCCTTCAGCGTAGTGGTTTTCTTCAGCATCTCGTGCCCGAAAGACACCTGCTCTCGAAAGATACCGATGTACAGTATGAGTTTCAAAATCGAGAGCGTGATGATGGAAACATCGAAGCTGATCATGCACACGTAGTCCATGTTTAACTTCATGTTCACGTCGATGGACCATTTGAGAATCTCCTCCAGAGGTTCGATCAGGATCACCATGTTCGAGCATGCCAGACTCACGACGTAGAGATTCGAGGAGGTTCTCATGGATGGTTTGCAGACGATCGCCAGTATAATTAGAAAATTCAGGCTGATCCCCAGAGTTAACAGAACGAGATTGATGACTCGCGCGTCGGACAGCGGGATGCTCAGTGTGATGACGTTGATCTTCGTGGGGACTTTCTTCGTTGCCCTCGTGGCCACAACGGGGAACGTCATTTCTCTGTTGTGAAAGTTCTGCAGCGAATTTGGAATCTCCATTTCCCCCTCTCACGTTCAGCGTAGAAATTTTCGATCAGTATATTCTCTTGTGGTCTCGAAGTTTGACTTAGCTTTGTCGTCGAAGTGGTGGAAAATGGATTTTTCGGGTTCTCATCACTCGCGTTGTTAATTTGAATTGAACCACGATGCTTGGAAGAAAGAACCAACTTGCCTTCGTTGATTCGCCAGTCGAGTCAACACTGAATGAAAGAAAGGGCGGCAGCTCGAGGGTTTATCTTCAATATTTTCCACCGTGTCCCACCCTTTTGGGAATTTAATATCCTGTGGCACAACGCGAGTTGACTTGGATCGACCGTGACACACTAATCGACACGCGACATTCTCATTTTATTAAGTGCTCTGTTTTGTCCACAATGATATAATACGCGTCGTACTGCTAGCGTTTAACGTTCGTTGCGAACTGGCGCTTATCTTTCATATGGTTTACAACGAATAACTGATACAATAATTAAACTTGTGTGAAGCAGTAACTTGTTCTGTCGACGAAAAGGGTATCTTTAATCGTGCTCTTTTGATACTTTCTCGAAAAAATTCCAGAAAAAAAAATCACTTCTTCCAAATTATGAAGTAAAGCTTAAAGTTGTACTAAAGTTAAATTTTTAGTGCATTTACAATTCAACACAGAATATGATACAGTAAATTTATTGGTTTTAACAGTATAGGTTTAATATAGTGTTTAATATAGGTTTAATGTAGTATAGGTTTTCAGTATAGGTTTGATATAGCGCAATTACAGTTATAGTATAATATAGGTTCAGTATAGGATTGATATAGCGCAATTACAGTTATAATATAGTATAGGTTTTGTTCGGCCTTGCCGAACACAAAGGAGGTGGGGTTCGCACCGCAAAGGACAAACTCATCGAGCCAGGGAAAGCAATTTTACAATTTCTAATTTCTCGACGGCAGGGATCTCTCGTGATCATATTTTATGTCCTTCGTTATCTTGCATCTTCTATTGTAGTCACACCGGACTACCAATTCCAATGTTCATCATGTTCGACACTCAATTTTAAGGCTCGATGAAGGACTTCATCGCAACTTGTTTACAACGTTCATAAATCCATATTGCGAGGGACACATCCTGGGACCGTTAGGAAGTGCAGATACTACGTTTTGGGACTGACCTCACTCACATCTGGAAGCAACTAACATACCTCCCTAAACCATAGAATTCAGCTATATAAGACCAACGTACAAGAAAAAGAATCAGTCAAGTTTTGACAATCGCGTAATACACACACAAGTTTCGGAGCAACCCATCGACGTACGACAGGTCAAGGTTCGACTATCAAACTCACTCAAATTTTATCAATCTTCCTCTTACAACTTACATTTCTCAATCCTACCAATCTAACTGTGAAACAATTCTATCTTGTGAATCAGCTGACTTTCATTAACGTTGAAAGACAGCAAGCCACCGATCTGCTCCACGCTACTTATAGGTCGAAGTCACGCAACAGGTTTAATTCAGTATAGGTTTGATATAGTGCAATTACAGTTATAATATAGTATAGGTTATAATATAGTATAGGTTTTCAGTATAGGTTTTATATATATAGTATAGGGTCAGTATAGGTTTGATATAGCGCAATTACAGTTATAACATAGTATAGGTTTAATTCAGTATAGGTTTGATATGGCGCAATTACAGTTATAATATAGTATAGGTTTAATTCAATATAGGTTTGTGTTAGGTTTGGGTTAGGTTTGGGTTAGGTTAGCGCAATTAGAGTTATAATATAGTATAGGTTTTCAGTATAGGTTTTATATATATAGTGTTCGGTCTTACCGAACACAATGAGGGTCAAAATGTGATGCGACAAAATATATTCATCGAGCCAGGGACAATAAACTCCTATCTTGTAACTTTTTCTATGGCAGGGACCTCCCGCGACCGTATTTGATATTTCAAACTGACATTTCCGTATTGTAGTTATATTTGACTCCTAATTCCAAGGCTCAATGAGTTTCTTTATCGCATCGGTCCCCACCATAAACAGGACACTAATAAACCGGCAGGACACTGAAGATAGAATCGTTTTGTTCCAAGAAGCAATTGTTAAATTTACTTCTTGGAACTGACCCTGAAAATGTTTGGAAAAATCCACTTTTCCGATCACAGGATCGGAAAGGAAACAAAGAGGGCTCGGATATATAAGAGCCGATTCCGAAACAAAATAGTACAGTCTTATTCTCAGTTTTAAATCAGCAAGAAAACCTCCCGCGTGTCTGCCGGTTCGCGTCCCCAAACCCAGTGCATTCCAGGGTAAGAACAATTTAGAGAACAAAAGAAAAAATACTCTTGTTTTTTTTTCTAATCATACGTTCAGTGCCCAATATATTTCTGTGAGTAAATATTTAAAAAAGTGTTAGTCGTAGGATTCAAGTCACACTCTTTAATCAATATCACAAATCAAATGTTACTTTGAACTAGCTGCACTTCATTAACGTTGAAGGCAGCGAGCCACCGATCGGCTCGTACGTCAAAGAAAAGAAAATACATAGAACTAGATCGGCACGCTACATATAGGTTTGATATAGCGCAATTACAGTTATAATATAGTACAGGTTTTCAGTATAGGTTTGACATAGCGCAATTACAGTTTTGATTATTTCAGTATATACTTCCTGAAAAAATGCACGCCAATGAAAAAAAATTTACGTCGCGAGATTGAACTCCTGTCTACCTAATTCTACTTGCGGTACGCGTCAGAGTCTGGCTCTGTCTAGTGAAAGATATTAATTCCTCCAATTAATTTCGTTCGTTTCTCAGATGATAACTTCGAATTCGAAAAATTTCGAAAAAATTCGAAGCACCGTCGAATTGTCTTCGTCCATCGTGCAGAATATACCACGGAGGGAAACCCTTGACCCTGACACCACGGCCGGAGCGATTCGCGCTGCAGCAACGACCAGACGACCAGCAGCGAAAATAGTCCTCTACTATAGTAAATCGTGTCTCGTCCGACATACATATGCATATACTTCGTCTGTTGGAGGAAAGAGCGTCGTAGGCTCGAACAGAACGGAACAGGAGAAATGCAGCTTAGAATCGTTGCGTCGATATAGTTCGTGGGGGATGGGAGCGAGGTTGTCGCTGGCAAATGGCCATAGGCGAAATATCGGTCGGTATTCGTAGCCCTGATGGATTTATCGGTCGGATTTGTACGTACGTGCAACGCTCGCGAGGATCGTTCCGTCCTCGAAAGTGGAACGATTCGACTGTCTCTCGAATCTCTGCCATTGTACGCTCACAATGGACGGGTGCTCGCGAGGAAAGGAGAATCCGCCAGATGCCAAGTTTCCCTTGAAAACGCGGTTCGTGAAAGGATGCGTCGAATCGAAAGGTTGGGTGATGATACGCGAGGGAGAGGAGCAAGGATGCTGATCTTCTCTCGCGTTAGGTTCGCAGTTAAGGGTGTTAATCGCGCATTGCGAGATATCGTTCGAAATGTTTATCTTCTCGCGTGCGGGGATTGTATCGAAGTACATATAAAGAGGAAATAACTCGTTGTTCTCTTTTGATCGAGTAGATAGAGATCTTACACTTGGAGAGTCACGTAATTTCTCGAGGATGTATCTACAACGTGTTTCATTCTTTTATCAAAAAAATCTTTCTCTCGATGATGAGGCGATTACCGAATCTTCCACGACCGTTTCGCAAATTATCAGAATTCCTGTGTTGGCGTTCGTACGTTCTCGATGCTCTCTCGGGCATCTCTCTCTCTCTCTCTCGCGCGTTTTCATCCGTGGGCCAGGTGTGTCGCTCAGTTTTGCGGGTTCCTCCGTGCTTTTTTTTTTTTTCTTCTTGCCTTTCGTCTGGTTGGATCGGGTTAGGGGCCAAATAAGTGCAGTGGCACGGCCAGGGCCACAACCGGTTCGCCGCTTGTTGGCCCGTCATTACGACGTAACACAAGCGATCCTGTACAGCGCTTCGGACAGCACCGATAATCACGAGTTTGTGCATTATCATCGGAACGGTCGGTATTCTTTCCTATTATTACCGCCAGGCTTATAAAACTATAGCACGTTACAGTCGGCGTAATAAACGTTACACACCCCATTTTGTTGTCTACGTTCGGTCCATTCTAATTGTTAGAATTATTCTGTACGAAGGACGTTAGACTTCTTGTCCACATAAAGGAATTTATTATTACATTTAGATATTTTCGAATAACAGCAATAAGGGCTCGCCCGTTTTTGCTGACATTCTAAGTATCTAAGAAATAATTCCAAGCATTTAAAATGATAGCAAATGATCCGAACATTCTATATATTTGTATTCTGACAAACTGATCGTCATTTTTGTAGTACCATTGGTCTTTCTTCTTGGATAATGTATGGAAATGAATCGTCAAGCTTATATTAATTTAATTTTGTAATTGCTCGAAAGATGATATAAATTTTTATTTCCAGCAGTAATTACAAGCTTTTCACTTTCAAAAATTTAAATAGAGATGAAATTCAGAAATTATAACCCAGAAATAAATTTTGGTGTCTATTAAAATTGTTTGTTCCTCCTCTTTCGTGGGTTGGATTTAAACCGAATTATTACTTGTCCATCTCTCGACGTGCCAACATTTAAATTAATAAAAATAAATTTGGCTAAAAAATTCGATGGACACACATCAGCCACGATACCTACAATGCTTGCAATCCTCAAATTTCCTTAAAGATACCCTAAAAAAATCCCTTAAAAATCGCCGTGGCAAAGTGTCAACATTGTTCGGCGAACGAAATTGTTCACGCGTCCGAGAGGAATGCGTCGTGCGTGCGTTAGTCGCGAGCACGAAACGTCCCTATGCACTCGATATCGCAAAAGAAAGAGTCGATCGCGAGTGCGGGGCCGCGCCACCGCAACCTCGTGCTGCTGCCGCTGCGGCCACTTTGCCGCCACTTGGCCCTCTTCGTCCGAAGAGAACGAGGCTCGTGATATTTTACGCGTGACCGGTTCGGCGAGTTTTTCCCAACGGCCGCAGCCGTGATGCGCAACATTCGATACTCGGGGCGCAGGTGCGCGCTGAAAAAATTCGCGCGAGCGCAACCCCCCTCCCAATCATCGAAAACGCGTAATCTCGCGAGACGTCGCGTTCAACGAGAAGAGACGAGAAGAGCTTACGTGCAGGACGCGTTCATTATGTTCTACAGACGTGTCTTTGCTGTTTCTCCTTGGCTCATTGTTTTTCTATTCGGATAACTGCATCTGCGTTTGCATTTACATGTCGCACTTTGGAAAAAAAAACCGTATAGATTATACT